ACTCTCACCGCGGCCCTTGATGAGGCGAAGCGGCGGGAGGCTGAACTCCAGACTACGCGTAGCGACCTTGCACGGGTGCAGAAATCTCTTGAGATTGCATTGCGGTGCATTGAGGCTTATGCTTCTCGGGTGGGTGAGGGAGTTGGCAGCGGCATCCAATCAATTGAGTAATTAATTGGAATGTTATGATAAATAAAAAATGTACCGGATATTATATTAAAACAAAGTAAATGATTATTTAAGACAAAAAAATGATACATGACAAAATGTTGATGTGATAACATGCATATCAATCAAATGTTGAATCCACTTATGATATTTTTATTGCTGGTCAAGATTTTCACACCCAACAAAAATAAAATACAGAATTTTCTGGTAAATAAACCATCCCACAGTCAATGTTCATTAGTCCAGCTGATATTGTTGTTAGTTTTCAAATCTCAAAGTTTGGAATTCCAGTTTTGAGTTTAATAAAAAAAAACGTCAAATAAAAATAGCTTTAACATAATTAAGATTTTAAAAAAGACTAATTGTTAAAAAGTCGATAGATACGATATTCTTACTAATAATAGATATTCCTATTAATGCTATGATAAAAAATAATAATAATAATAAAAGACCATCCAGCAAATTATAAAAAAGACAATTAAGATAACTTACCTACAAGAGTAAAAATTAGTAGTTTGATGTTTGAATTTTAAGCCAGAAACCAATCGCGTGTTTTTGTTTTTTTTTTTTTTTTTGAGTATACCAATAGGCTGTTAGAAATGGATTGGAATATGCATCATTAACTTGTTATTCAATATGTCAATCTAAGATTTGTCAAATTCGATATTATTCATTGGCTCCTTACTCGTAGCATAGCCTTGAGTTTCAGACTACATTAGGTAGCATTATATTCCATGATCATCTTAAAAACAATAATATTCTTTCAGGATTTCCCTTTCTCTATCAAAGCTTTTCACTTAGATATTTTTGTTTAAAGATGATTAGCCATCTTTAAGTTGAATTTAGATAAATAATTGAACCAAACTGTATGAGCAGTGCAACTGCACGATCAATTTACAAAATTCAACTGTCTGAAAATTCTGATCATATATAATACATACCTAAAAGGATTGCTGAAAAATATTCCTACTTCCTACAAAGCCATTGCATCTTCCAAAACCGTGCATGACAGAATATAAATCCCCTAGTGCAGGTGCTCATTTGTTTGTAGAAAATCCAAACAAAACTCGATAACCTTTTTCTAAACATAACCCATGATGATCTACACATCCTTTACAGAATAGGTGTGCCAATACTTTTTGCTTTTTTGGGAATCATAACATCTCTTTCACATTTGGGCATGCTTTGCGTTCAACATCTCTGGTGAAGGACTTCTTCCTTAGTTAAAATGCATCGTTGAGATGAATGTTGAACAAATCCAAAATAAAAGTAGCATTCCACAATCTAAAGGAAGTAAGTGAGTTGTTGTTTCTTCCTTGAACCACCTTCTCCATACAGATCATTCCACTGCTTCAACTCATTCATTACAGATCCTTCTGATGCAAAACTTGCAGCCACCTGCATTTAATCAAATATTTGTTAAGTTCATGTACAAGTACAAGGAAAGAACACACTTTACTTCTCCCACTAATGTGACATTGTGAGTATGAAGTTCTTAGTTAAATGTACAAGTTAACATTTAAGTGAAAATAAAAATGGATCACATGACACTAGTGCCATTTGTGTAAAACAATTCAGTTCAGCCTACCTGACTCTTAGCCTGTCTCATATCTTCCATGTTTAAAGGCCTCAAGGTAATTTCTTGGTCTTCCTTATCTTTATTGTTTGAAGCATCTTCTGAGCTTTGGCCTTCTGCCTCTCTTTTCTTTTTTTCCTAAAATATGGTGGAATTGTATAGTTAGATGTCATGCCAAAGTTCTGCATTGGATGGAGATTTTATTCTTAACACAGTATAACTGTTGAATAACTACCATTTCCTTCGTTCTCTCCTGCTGTATTAGCTCCCTAACAGGTCGATAAGCCGCAGTGATGCACAAATTCTGTTCATAGAAATTAACTTCAACAGATTTTCACCAAAATAAAATATAATAAATAAAATCGGTAAACCAATACCAAAACTCACCTTAAGATCACTTCCGGTATATCCTTCTGTCATGGTTGCCAGCTCTTTAAAGTCTAAATTTTCATATTTCTCTTTAGCCAGAAGTGTCTTCAAGATCTTTTCCCTGTTCTCAACAGATGGAAGACCAACCAGGATCCTGCTCAACAATAAAAATGTTAACTACATTATGAAGAAAATGAACATGTAAACAATAAGACAAAGGTGTGATCCTACCTGCGCTGAAAGCGCCTTATGATAGCTTCATCAAGGTCAAATGGCCTGTTGGTTGCAGCAAGAACCAAAATTTGCTCATTAGGCCCTGTCAATAGTCCATCCCAATGTGTCATGAACTCATTTTTAATCTTCCTCATGGCCTCATGCTCTCCTACTCTAGTCCGCTGTCCAAGCATGCTGTCAACCTCATCAACAAATATAATTGTTGGGGCAACCTTAGCTGCCAGTGTGAACAGAGCACGCACGTTCTTTTCATCTTCCCCAAACCATTTTGATGTGATGGTTGACATTGAGACATTGATGAAACTTGCACCAGCTTCATTTGCAATTGCCTTTGCTAGCATTGTTTTTCCAGTACCAGGAGGCCCAAACAGCAATATACCTCTACATGGCTTTAGAAGCCCACCTTTGAAGAGGTCTGGCCTTCTCAGAGGAAGCATCACAAGCTCTTGAAGTGATTCTTTGATCTCATCCAACGAACCAATATCTGCAAATGTAACCCCTATCTCATTTGCAGGGATAACCTCTGGTCTTATGCGCTTCTCAAACTCATTGTCAGGAACTTCCTACACACAAGATGTTGAAAAAGGGTAAAAGGGGGAGTAAAAGAAAAGAGTTCAATGGTCATGCACGTATAGTATAAAAAAGTTTCACATATCATCCAATCACAATTTACCATAAATGTAAGTTTGTTTGACTTTTAAGATGACTACCTTAAAAGTCATACAAATCATGATTTCTGATTGGTTGATCATGGAAAACATTTTACATTAGCAATGTATGACCATTAAACCCGACAGTAATAAGTATAAAAGGTAACAAGTTTAGAATTTAGATCACACAACTTCAACTAGATGGCTAGCAAAATGTTGATTAGTGTATGTGTATCAATGGTCCGTTTGAAACCAGTAAACTTATAAGCTGATGGAAGTATGTATAAGAATCCTATTCATGTATTGTCTCTTTTACATGGGTTGGATTTGATAAGCAGGTAAGAAGCATTTTACAGTCGTGAGTGCTGAGAAAAATGATCTTACTGCTTTTGCAGGTGTAGGATTTTCGCCATCTTTCTTTGTTACTGGGATGGATTTCTCTGTTTCACTCTTGTTTTCAGGTGCTTGGTTGTCACACTTCATTTCATTTTTTGCACCAATAATATCTTCTCCAGCATTTTCCTAATGTTACAGAAAACACATCAGTAGATAAAAACTGAATATATATAATGATAAGCACTCTTCATCATTTTTTTTCCCAAGATTTTCCATTATTCCTGTGCTAATAAATAGATGTAAACAAGCATACCTTGTTAGATTCGTTAGTCTTAAGATTCCCACTACTCTTGCCTTCCTGGAACAGACTCAATCCATGGGACAAACTATGCACATCCAAGATCAGTAACTAGAAAATCTTCTCATGTAATCAATTTCTTACACAGTCATTGGACAAGATATTTACCTGTTGGCCGATATAACTAGCTTTCCATTTCGGTATTCTGGATCTTTTGTATTCATCAAATGATAAGATATTGCAGATACTACGATTTCTTCAATATTGCCAAGTAAGATAGTGTCTGCATGGCAGATTGAATTCAAGTCATCACATTCAATGTCATTTGCTGCTAGTACTTCAGCAATGTGGTTTCTGTTATCTTGGAACTGAATAATTTTCATGTCCTCTTCAAGTTGGCCTTTCCAACTGCCAAGATTAGTTTCATCTTCAGGAGCTTTGATCTCAATGCTGTAGGGGAACAATGCAGTGATCCTTTCATCATCTTCTTTGCAATCATCTTCTGAATCTAATAACTGGGAACCAAGTATCAACACTGCGCCTGACAGTTTCTTTATCATTTTTTGTAATAAATTATATAACCTTGGTGATTGGAGAACTAGCTTCTCAACATCCCTGATGTATAATATGATGGAACTAGTTTCGGTGATAGAAACCAAAAGCTGCAAAAATTACAATGATCTTGTTATTAGTGTAAAAACTAAACTCCGTTTGAAAATAGCCATGAGAAAAGTTCTTATAAAATAAGTTTTCAGTAATTAAATCACCTTGTAAAGAGATTGCACAAAGAGCTTTTCATCAAAACACAGGCTACTTGTGCGCTTTAAAGGAGCTGAAAACATAATTCAAAGAAGTGAGCAAAATGTTGGAGAAGAACATTTGTTATTTCATGCATCAGTGACAACAAGAGAAAGCATCAAGCCATCAAGTATATAGCTGCATGACATTCACCAATCACCATATTTTAAACAATAAGAAATTTACAGAGAAGACTATTTGGCTCCTGGAGTTATGTGTCGATTCCAAAATAGCCCTCTGAACAGACACATAAGTGCTTTTATTGGGGGGTGGGGCCTATTTTTTGTGATTTCAATTTCCAAAAAGGAATTCTACAGTTGTAATAGTAGTGAAAATGAGAAAGACTTGGATTTAGAAGATGATGAAGATTCCTATTTAGTAAACTTGTTTTTTATTTCTGTTGGTTTGTACTTGGATGTTTTGTTTAAGATGCCTATGACTTTTTATTGTTAATTATGAATGTCATTCATTTTGAGTAATTTTTGACAATTTATATGTATGTAGTATACATTACTTTGACCATATAAAAAAATTCAAAATAGCAGTTATCATCTTATAGTATTTTTGGGACCGACCACGACACACTGCTATCTGGGATTTAAAACACTGTTATCAGGTTAGTTCTTGTTAACACCAGTTCAAAACTTTTATCAGCATCCTTGGGAATAGTATCTACACCCTTCATCTTCAAAGATGAAACTAACAGATTGACATTTTGATTTACTATTTAAAGCAGTATGTTGAAAAGAAGCTTACACAGTACACAACACAACAGAATTAAAAGTAGTTATTCAATTTAATCTTTGAGTTGGATGAGCAATCGCAAACTTGATTAATAAGGTAACCTATAGTTCTAAAGTATAACCTGGAAATGTTGGGCCACACTGGGAAGCAGTGCTACTTAGATCTGATGCAGCAGAAGCATTCCTCTTAAGCTTTGGAGGATTGGAACTTTCAGCAGCACTGCTTTGTTGACGCAGAATTCCTTCAAACGAAATTATCAATCAAAATCAAACGAAGTAGTAGTTATATATACTAAGTTGGCAACACATAGATAAAGATCAATAAGGGTATCAATCAATACAAATTGTAGAAAAATGAGAAGAGATAATATGGAGTCTTTACAACCATTTGTAATGTCAAGACTATGATCACTGCCTGTGATACTAACATTAAAAACAGAACCTATTAACAGATGTCAAAGCAATACATATATTATTAAATATTTCATATCTAGAAGTCTTCAACTACCAAACTCTATAACAGCTAATTATAGAATAAGGAACTTCATAATTTAAAAGTTGATTGTTATTTAGTACCTCTTGTTTCTCCTGTTGAAGAAAGCATTGAAAAGGAACCAAACAAACCAGACATTCGCTCCAAAGTTGCCTCGGATATTGACCTTTTCAAAGACTACGGAAACAGAAGTAAATAAGTAACAAAAATATCACTATGAACTAGAAATTAAATGATTTTATTGTTCTTTCATCATGTCAATAATGACATAGAAAGGAGCAGAGTAAACTTACTGGTACTTTTCTAGAACATCCAAATTTGTTTTGCAACTGTACAAGGGAAAATGTAAAAGGTAAGAACACATGTACATGACCAGTTAAAGCATTGAAAATGAGAAACTATGAAAAATTACCTTCAAAGAGAAGTCAGTAATATCTAACAACAACAATTTTGATTCAAAGCAATGTGCTAAAGCTCTGGCAAGCATTTGCTGGTAAAGTTCTTCAAAAATTTAGATGTAAATAGTATTAGTCAAACCAAGTTGCATTTAAAAAGGGTTTCTGCAGGACAAGGTGAAATTCTTGCATAACATACCAGCTGGACCAGATAGCAAAATAGCCCTGCTTGCTGGTGAGAGGTTCCTGGTGTGCTTGGAAAAATTCAGATGTTTTAAATGAACATATGCGGCACTTGTCAACAAAACTCGAGTTCTTTCACTGCCATTATCACATTATATGCAAGCATAAGATATGGTGCTATCGGGAAAAGAATAAAAAAAAATATTGTTCATAACTTCTGAATGAATAAGGAAAAAAGGTATTAATATATCAAATTCCTCCATTAGAACAAATCCATCTGTGACAGAACATGAGAGTCCAGATAGAGAGCATGATGGCGGATTTAACATAGCATGTAATTTTTGGAATTTAAAATCAAAAGGCAAGAAGCTAGAATTTGAATTCAATTAAATCCAAGATGCACAATTAATGTTAGAAGGAATATATTTTCAATCTTGCAGTAGTCAACAATCAATACCATATTCCTATATCTAAAAATTCCTTAATAGTAGTTATATACCAACTTACTGACCTATGAACTAGAGAATATAAGAACAGAAAAAAGAATATGGAAGAACTCAGTTGCTGTTGTAAAGACTGCATGAGGCCATAAGCATCTAGATAACAGGAATTTTCAAAGACTAAGGAATTACATAACATTTTTTTGTTTCATTTTGCTACATCAAGGAGTTGTTAAAGTGTATCTTTTCAACATAGAGGCCATGAGTTGTAGTTGCAGAAACAACCTCTCAGATCATGCTCCAAGGCTTTCTACATCGGAACCTCCTAAACTGCTAAACCTCACAATGGTGAGAGTCTTGTGCACTTGACCACCCTTTCAAATCAAAGGGTTGTTACCACAACTTGAATTAGAGCCTCGATCATAAAACAAAAGTGTGATCTTTTAATGTCAGCTAGTGCTAATTATATGAATTCGGGTGTGCATATTTATTGTGATCACCATTTATATGCTCGGAATCAGAGTTTAACCACTAATTTTTAGTAGACAAGAAGCATAAAAAAGTACAAACGACAATTGTCCCATCATCTATGAAGAGGGTGAAGCTCTAATCTGAAATATAGTGCTATGTTTAACCAGAAACGATGACAAATCTACAATAAGTACAAGTGCACATCATAAGCACAAGGTACCATGTTGTATATCCAAATAAGCTACTCTTTGATAACAAAAAGTACAAACTAAAAGTATGCTATCAGGTTCATTCTTTTATTTATTTCAGAGAAACTGCACACATTTTATCAGGAAAGTTACATCACTCATATCCTGAAGCTTCCCTGTTTCTGACCCAACCCAACATATACTCAATGCAACAATTTACTTTTAAAAACCAAAACAAAACAAAAAAATACCAAGGAAAAATCTAAGGAAGTTTGGTGAACTCAATAACAAACGATCAAAGAAAATCTCAAGGATATAAGGAGATCAAACCCATCATAGAAGCCCCATAGAGAGTATCAAATTTATATCTACCACAAGATTCACAGCAAATTGCCATGAAATTTACAAGTCAAACTGAGAGAGATCCATGTCTAAAACACCTTTGACACCCAACTTTATCATAATATACCATCATAAATTCAAACACACACACACCCATAAATATCATTTCTACAGGGTCAAAAATGGTAACAAAAACATAGACATCAAGAAGACCATGTTCAAGTCATATTATATAATCATATTCCAATGAAATCACAAAATCACCTCAAGTAATAAGGAAAGTCTTCAAACGTAACCTTGCTGTCCCTTCCATCAACCACCAGCTTCTTGAGCTCCTGCTCAATCTGCTCCAAAGAAAGCTCATCAGAGGCACGATTCCCGCCAACCCATTTCTGCCCTGAACTCAACCCGAGCCCCACACCCAACCCAACCCCAACACTCAATGCTGACAACAGAACGCGCTTCTGTTCCATGACGACCCTGATGCCAAGTTCGGTCCTTTGAGACCCCAGAAGCGATTTTTCACCAAAGGGTATCAGGATTGTTAAGCAAAGTAGGTGATGGATGATGATTCAGAAAAAATGGGTACCTACCCCCGGATATTTTGGAGAGAATAACAACAACAATAACAAATAGTTTAACAACCTATGTTATCGAGGCTCCGAAGACAACGTTGGTCTAAGGATTTTGACAAGGCAATGACTCGCTCTCTGTGTCTCGCTCCTCAATGCCTATATATAGCATGCCATTAACTTATGGACGTTAAAACTTATCACACATTGCTTGCACATGAACCCAAACTCCAAAAGAAAAAAAATATAAAGGCTAAGGTTTTTACTTTTCGTGCTTCTTTTTAGCATAGTGGTGACTGGTTAGTGGTGGTAACAACAAATCTGGGTTCTTTCTCTTACTTAGATTAGTCCCTTTTTTTTTCTTTTCAGATCATGGAAACACAAACATGCCATTACGTCGTAATTCTTTACAAATGTAAATTAACAACCATATAATTCAAAATTCAAAAATTACATTATTAAAGTGATAATATGAATACATTTTTTTAAATTAAAATAACAAGCTTTTCAAAATAAAAATAATTAAATTTAAAGATTTATTTAATGATTTTTTAATTTCTGAAAATAATGTAACTACGTTTTCTAAAGGACAAAATGGTGTTTTACTTTTTATATTCTTTGCCTATTGTCTATTTGGAAATTTTTTTTTAAGCTTTATTTAATATATGTTATAGTTTTGCGTAATAATTTTTTGTATGATATATATTATTGTAGCCCATTGCTTGCTTGGTGCAGTGTCATTTTGGTTTTTTCTTAATAAATAAATGTAAAGGTAATGAAACGGTATGGTTGGTGCCTGGCTTATTTGTTTTCTTTAAAAAATGTTAAAGTCAGGAGCATTCATGAAGTTATCTAAAAAAAATTATGCTACATACCTACCCCTTTCATGGTACATTCTAATTTTGCATATTTTACTGAGGAGGATCATGGCTTAAGCAATAGTAGTTAGATCGGATTCATCTTGCAATCTTTTGAAGAGAGTATACATTGATTTTGAGTTAATGTAGAATAATAATAGTGTTCACTATTTGGTATTTTTAAACTCTTTAATTAAAAGTGCCAAGATTTTTTTTTATATTTTTATTAAAAACATAAACCGTTATTATCATATATAATAAATTTGTTTATTTTATACAAAGAAATAGTATATAATTTGACAATATAGAGAGATTTTATAATGTCATCTAGAATATAAATTATCTCTTATGATAAATTTATTTGTATTTATTCAATAATCATTTTAAAAATAGTGAGATTTTCTGAGAAAGATTAGTTATTATTAAAAAAAAAATTAAATTTTAAATAAATTGATCGAGTGAAAATTTAAGAAGTTATTTTAGAAATTTGTAATTTAAGGATTTTTTTTTTTTTTCGTTTCTGGGGTATCCATTTTGGTTCGTTTATGGAGTATCCACCGCCGATAGCAGTAACTAATCTCCTCGCTACGTTGGAGGCACCTCAAAGGGTAGAATAGCTGGCCCCATGATTTAATGCCCTGCATACACAAGGCAGGATTCGAACCTCTAATCTTGCTTAAACGTGGATCAACCCTTACCGCTGAATCACACGCTTGAGGTTTTTTAGGATATTATTTAGATACAATTCTTTATTTGTTTTAATATTTTTTAAAGATTTGTTTCCCTTTTTTTAACTAAAAAGATTATATGTTTCATTTGGTATTACTGTTTTGATTTATATAAAAAGAATCAAGAAATAAAATTTGTATGTTTTATTTAAAATCTTTGAAGGTTTGAGTAATTTCATTATGTGAAGTGTAATTTTTTATTGGTTATAGTAAATATTCGTACCGATTATATGATTATCAAATAAAAAACAACTATTGCAAAACTTCTCGATTTAAAATCATTTTTCAGAAGTTAGATTTTGTCGTTAAAAATGATTTTATTTGATTCAATTTGTTTAGAGAAAATACTTTGATTATATATATTAAAAAAAACTAGCGGATTTTCAATAACTTCGTCTCCACTTATTTATTTATACACTGTACTTTTTGGGGCACTCCGAAAGACACTGTAAACATGCAATTGTTGTTCCTTTTGTAAAAGTCTATGCACGTTATGTACCCAAAAAAAAATAAAAGTCTGTGCACGTTACGAGAGGTCATGTCATAAGATTTTGCTAAATTCATTAAACCCTGTTCTTTGTATCGTTGGATCTCCCGAAGGAATTCGTTGTACACCTTTTGTTTTTTTAAAAAAAAAAAATTCTATGAGCTAAACTAATATAATATATTTTAATTTTATTAGGTTTTTGAGGAAGTGATTATTATATTGTAATTGCATAAATTTATTTATGACTCTATATAGTTAATTAAGTTAATTAAGTTAACTTGCCTTGAGGACGAGGTTATAATTAATCAAGATATGATGTTAGCTTAGATATAAAAGCTTTCTCATTACATTGTTAAAAACAGGATTACTCCGATCCTGAAATTAGTCAAGGACTTGTTCTAATAGTTAGATTCTTTAAATGTGTTTACATAGTTTAATTATCTAATTATGTATATAAAGATAATGTTAAAAAAATAAATTTATTTCAGTAGTTTTACGTTTCAAAAAGAATTATTTAGTGGCTATCATTTATATAATTTGTGTAAATTATGTCAACTTTCTCCCCCAAGTCAACCATAATTCAATTGTTGATAATGTTTATAGTTTCTTATCTTGTAATTTTTTTTAAGCAGAAAAGTCCAATAAAGCGGCTAACTCTTCTCCTACAAGACTATAATAAAAAGTTATTGAAGTTGAGTATTTTTAGATAATTTTTTTAAGAAATACTCTTAAGAGAAAATAAAAATAGAAAAAAAAAACAAAATTAATTTTTTTTCTTAGAATTAGAAATTAATGAATCAAGTTGAATTGAGTTTTACTTATCTCAAATCGACTTAATAATATTTGACTTAATTTACAACTCGACTCAACAATATTTGTTTCAGCTTACAATAAGACTCAAGTTTGACATGAGCCATTTTTTTCTACTTGAACTCAACTATTCAAACTTGCTAGCAACTTGTTAGTTTAAATCACATTAATCAAGAGTCAATTTTTTTTAATCATATACATTTCAAAATTTTAATTTAATAATAGAATTTAAATAAAATTTTTTTAACTTTTTTAAAAATACAAAACATAACTTATTTTATTAATTTTACAAGATTGAGGTATGACTCCAAAGAAATATAATTAATCAAAATCTATGTAAATAAAAACTACTCTACCTTGCATAAAATAATATAAAAAAAATCTCTAACCATGAAATTTTAAAGTATTCACTTCTTTTATTATTATTAACTAATAACTAAGTTTTGAAGGTTTTTTCAAATTTTAATAAGTTGAAATTAAATAGAAAGTTGATTATATAAATTACATATTTATATGTTGAACTAATTCATGAACCAAAAAAGTCGAATAATACACAATTCAAGTCCGACTCATTTATTTATCGAGCTCAATTTTTAGTTCAAATTCAACCCATTTGGTTCATGAATCAAATTTGATGAGTTAATTATTAAATCAAATTTCAAATTATTTCAAGTTGATTTGACATTGTCACCCCTAGTTTTCCATAAGTTAAAATTAGTTAATGAATATGATAAAAATAAGATTTTAAAGAAGTTAATAAGAAATTTTTTTCAAATTAGCTCATGCATAAATTAATTTTAGTTTGTAGTTTAGGATTTAGGATTTTATTTTATTTTTCTCTTCTACTTCTGTAAAACTTTACTCAAACATACCTTTAGTATTTCTTTTATTTTATTTGTTTGGTTTCACTTCTACGAATATCTTTGATTGTTTTCTTGATTGTTACATATATTATTTCTTTAATTTATGTAATGTCTTTTTATAATTTGTTACAAGATAGATCGGGATAAGAACAATGTCTAATGTAGGGGTGACAATAGGATGAATAACAACCCCATCACCTATCATGTTTATTGAAAGTATCTATTTAACAAGTATTAATCTATTTTTTTTAAATATATATGGTTAACCACGAGTATTTATAAATGTTTGTTAAAATGTAAAGTTTTAATAAAAAAGTAAGATATAAAATAAAGATAAAAATAAGTAATTTTAAAATATATACTTATATTAAAATATTATTTTAAAATATATTTGTACTAAAATTAAATAATTATGATGTATATCTATAATAAATTTTTTTTAATGATATTACTTTATATATAATAAAAATATTAAATATTTTTAAAGCATGAGTATTGGCTAATACTTGTCTCTAGTCTTGTCTCTAGTCTTTAGTCTCCACCCATTATTAAATATATATCTATTTAATTATTATTTTTATTGAATCAATTTAATTATCTATTATAAGTCATAGCGGTTTTATTTATATGTATTGTTTTTTTTTTTTCAAGTCTAATCTTAGAATATACTACCTAGTTAAACGTAATAGTTACCCTCCTTCCTATAAAACATCCTAACTAAATTATAGATCACAAGTTAAACAAATGTCTGTGTCATGATAGCATTCCTTAGGATGCATTTTGAATATCTCTTTCTTGTGGGGCAACTCATCCATCAATATTGAAAAAAGTGGTATAAACCAGATCTTACTCAGCGCGCACGCTTTGAATCAATTGGTTTTTTTCAGGGTAATCATAATAACTGATTATACAAAGTTAAGCATAACTATAAAAAAAAAAAACTTTTATAAGTATTTCTAATTTTTTGTTTATCTAAATTAACTCTTAAACCCCAATGATAAGATAATATGCATAATATCCTAAATTCAAACTATGTTGTGGTGAATTTAATTCTGATTCCTATGGTTAAAGAAACCACTTAAATATTGGTTACAAAAGTTAATTATACATAACTAATAAATATTATAATAAAACCATAACAGATTTTCCGTAACTAATTATAGTTTGTATATCTCACTCTTAACTTTGATATATATATATATAATAAAATAATAAAGTTTAATATTTATTAACAATAAAATGATAAAGTTCAAATGATATTGGTATAATTTTCATCAAATATTAAATCGCTTAATAATTTTTAATTAAATATGAATTTTTCAAAATTTATCATTAGATTAAAAGTTTATTATTCTTAAATCATATATATAAAAATTTATATTAATTCATAATAATTTGACACCTCATCCTTATATAATAAAAATAGACATAATATATACATTTCAAAGTACACTAAAATATGAACATTTTGATTATGTTATAATTATTGT